CTTCAGAAATTTGCCTTTTGTGGAAAACAGTGGTCAGAACTCAGAACTCTGCGAGGACTGAAAACCAAGGGTCAAATTTATCCCCAACTCTGAAAATCCATAAAAGAAGTTTCAATTTCAGTGTGTACAAGAGAATCTTGCAACTGTGTGAAACATTTGGAAACAAAATTTCTTTTTTTCATTTAATTGCCCTAATTTTAGCATGGCTAGTTATAAATTGCATTTAATAAAGATCAGAATGTACAGAAGTTGTATTAGTTCTTCCATTTGTATAAGTTTTGACATTGCTCCTCAATGTGTGATAGACTAAGGGGAAACAAACAGGGCCAGACAGAGATTTTTATATTTGTCATATATACATTCTGCACCCACAGTTAAATTAAACTCCTTCTACCCAGAACTTTGTTTTAGAAAATAATGGTGCACATGTGCAGGGATAAATATTGTATATTTTGAGGAGGGCATGTCCAATTCCATGATGAAGTTTTGTGCATCAATGCACAATTTTACTATAATAAAAAAAATTCAAACTGTAATCCTTGGATGAAGTCACAATTTTGATTTTTTTTGTTGCTTTAGTAACTTTTAACTCACTAGTATAATTGTCTGAAATTCCTCCCAGGAATTCATCTGAAGAAGTTATTTGTTACTTCTTTTCTTAATTACTATTGTATAACCCAGCTGGTTTCACCCCAAACATGGATATTTTTCAATGTATCCTCATACACAGTACATTGATACTTTCTGTAAAATACCTTGGGATCCTTCTAGACAAAGATTGCCTCTTCAACAGAAATATAAATAACTAATCAAGGTGTTTTCAGCTCTTCTGGTCCTGGCAAATGGGAGATAGAGCCTTTCACTACCTGGATCATCTTCCCCCCCGCCCCTCGCCCCACAAGATACATTTTTTTAAAGGCATTTGGGAAATTTACAGATTCTCAAACCAATATTCCCAAGTGTGATTTATCTCTGAGGATACATTCATTGGGCAGATGGGAGTGGGACTGAAATTCTAAAAATGTGCCCACTTCACCCCCCCATCTCAATGTATACAATGCCCCATTTTGTCCATGCTGTGTGAATGAAGAGTGAGTGTCTGCACGTACGTACACACCCCCCCACACACAGAGTTTTGTGCTCACTCCCATTATTACTGGTGGCCACCATCTCCTAGGGGACTAGCTTTCCTGAAGTAAACATGTCTTTGTCCCCTGCTGGGGACAATATCTGTCACCCTCTCTTTAATCTGCCTTTTTTTAGGGTGATGGTTTGGAGGAGTCTGCGATAAGGCCACATTGATGTCCTCTGGATTTCTCTTACTTCCCCAACTCCTCTTCAAGCTCACTTTAGGCATGAAGATGGTTTTCAGTCTCACCAACTCACTACCTTCTAGTGATGGGCAGATGCTAGGAGTCTATTCTAGAGTCTTTCACATGCATCCATAGTCCTTGACAGTTTTGAACACAAGGTGGTGTTGATTTGCTACCAGATCTGAAGGAGGATAGAGGAAATCACTCCTGAACTTGTTCCATTCTTTGTTTTCAGAGACCCCCTCCCACCCAAATTGTCATTGTGGTAGATTGTGACAGGGTTGGAACTCCAACACCACCTCACTGCAAACAACATGCAGGTCTATGTCTCTTTTTTGCAGAAGCTAGATGATGCTTTTTCTTAGCTTTCTCAGCATCTGGTGAAGATTGGGGCATAGATGAAAGGAAGATGGTTGAAGCTCAGTATGCAGAAGATAAAGGTGATGCTTGGAGGCAAAAGGAGGTGAAGCTCAAAGGCAGGCATTTGGGAGAAATGGCATCTGTCCCTGTAATATAGTCCTGTCCTTCTTTATACCGTGAACCAGTCTGAACTGCAGGTTACTCTTGTAATCTCAAGAAGGGGCCTTTTTCTGTCCAGCTCCACTTAATGAAAGCTTTGTTACTGTGGGATTTCTCATCTATAACCCATCGCAGTCTTCCCTTGTGACTTTTCAGATCACATTACTGAAGACATTCTATATTAGAACACACTTGGAAACTGCCCAGAAGCCCCACCAGAACATGGCTGCCCCTTAGTGCCAACTGGAGTACAATTCAAGGTGTTGATTTTGATGAGTAAATCTCTAAAAGATTTAGATCTGCTCTAATCTTGTGCAGGTAGATTGTACTATGTGTGAATTTGTAAAGTTCTTTGGAATCCTCTAAGATGAATTGTGCAAACATAAATGCAAATGACCAGTGCAGTTATTATGTGTTATTAAATTCTTCAAAGGTTAAAAATAACCTGTTTTTAAACACCTGAATAATCATAAAACAAACAAGGATTTAAAAATATCTTCCTATTTTCTCACTTATTTTTATTCATGTAAAGTACCTACCTGAAAAGGCAAATAATTATACTTCCTGTCGTTAGAGCAATCAGAGATGTACTATGTCCAAGGGTGTAGATTGCCCTCACTAGTACATAGAAATTAATCTATGAAGAAAAATATATATTCATAATCCATTAGTGACGGCTGCAGACAAACGCATAATAATGTAGCATTGCTTTAAATAATTTCTAAGAATAAAAACTGTGCATGACATAATTGTTACAAAATACCTGTGTGAACATTAAATATACTGATTCCCTTACACTTGTCTAATGCAAAGCCAATAAAGATGTTGTCTGTGATAGAGAAATCAAATGTGGGACTTCTGGATCTTAAAACATCAAGTGTCTCAACCTAATAACCTTGCTCCATTAGCTCAGAGCCATTAGCAGGCCGATAAGCCTCCATATGGTTCAGTCAGTGGCAGATTATTATATGGGCCAATGGAGATTGTGCCCCGGGGTCCCAGTCAATTGGAGAGCCCTGAGAAGCCAGAACCCTGACTCCACTCCCCAGTCCTCCTCTTCCCTCTGAGGATCTTCCCCCCTGACCAAACCGGATGCTGGAGCTGTGGTAGGAGGGTGACCATATTCCCCCTTCTCTTCCATGCAGAACTGCCCTCGAGCCCTTCCTCCCCCATGTGGAACTGCTCCCTCCCTGAACCCATTCCTCCGCACTCTATATCCTGTGCAGAGCGTCCCCCCACCCTAGCCCTCTCTCTCCAATTTTACACATGAATATAGAAAAAACAACAACCAAAGTTTAAATGAATTGCCTATAGTCAAGCATAAAGTGTATCAAGTATCGCTGCTAATTACAGAATTCAGGAGTCCTGGCTGCCAGTCTCCAACACTTATCAATAGATAATATTCTTATTAAAAATCCTCATGTCTCAGCTATAACAATATTTGGCACATAAACAGAAGTCTGTGGCTTGATGCTTTATTATGTGTCCAAAGAGCAGTAGCTATCCACACACATTCACTTGAAACTACAGGCTCCAAAACTATTCTCACGAGTATCATCAGGGTTGTTAATTCCAAACCAATTTATTGACAAAATGACGACTAAGATATTTACATTTTAGTGCACTGAGCCATTTATTTTCATTCATAGTTATTTCTATGCTGCATATGTTATATTAGTGTTTGATTCTTTGACCTGTAAAGAGACAGAGCTCTCACTCTGGGCTGCTCACAATAAAAAAATAAGAGCAGTCATGTTGGGTCAGACCAAAGTAGCCCAGTATCCTAGTATCCTGTCTGCCGACAAGGGCCAATGCCAGATGCCCCGGAGGGAGTGAACAGAACAGGTAATTATCACGTGATCATCTGAGCATGGGCTGTGGAGCCAGAAAATGAGTTCTCTTCCTTGCTAGGTGATCATTGCTTAGGGCATTAAGTTTGCATTGAGCTTTCACATTATAAAATAATTTTTGCTTGCTTGCTTATCTCCCAGCAATCTGTATGTAAGTCGGAACTGGCGTCAGCCGCTGCTGAAACTTATCAGTTTCAACCGCGGCTGAATCTGGATGCCAGTTCTGACTTACATACAGATTCAACTTAAGAAACCCAGGCGTCCCCAAGTCAGCTGCTGCTGAAACTGATCAGCGGCTGATTCCAGGAAGCCTGGGGCAGAGCAGGGTCTGCAGGGAGACGGGGAGCAAAGCCTTGGAGCACGCCTGCAGCGGGACAGCCCAGGCGCGCCTGGGCTGCCCCGCAGCCCCAGCCCCTCTGCGGCTTTGCTCCGCGTCTTCCTGGTCTGCAGACCAGGGAGACGCGGAGCAGCGTTTCTCCGCCCCGGC